TGTTGAATTGGTAACCTTTTAGCATAAGTTTATTTAAAGGATCGATAAGTTTACCCGGATCGTATCTAAATTTCCGAGCTCGGTAAACAACATCACCGTAAAAATTAGGATGTGCTATCCCTTTTGAAATAAGTCTTCTACAGGTACAGCCAAACTTCCAAACCAAATCTTTGTATCTAAGGAAGTATTTAGTAAAGGTTTTAAGTAATTTGTGGTCACGAAATACCTGACTAAATCATTTACCAGTAATATATAGATTACGTTCATCGAAATACAAAACGTCCCTACAGTCAGGGGCATAGCGAACGAGTTGTGATATATAAATTCCGTAATAGGGTGCTAAAGGAACATTCATCATCCCAAAAAGGAAAATTAACAATAGGTAAAGAAAAATCGTCCCTTTTGTCGTACATTTTTGTGTAGAGTTTCTCATGTAAAACTGAAATATCTAAATCTAGGAAAGGACAGTTATACTGTTTAAATTTGATTTATTTAAAGTAAGTTCCTTTGGGTAATTCGGCAGTATATTTAGAAAATTCTTTATTATTTAGTGAAAAAATATCATCAGGATAACGATACGTGTTGTTGAATTTGTCAATTAAATAGAATTAAGACGGATATTTACTGAGTTTGGCCATAAACTGTGATTCATAACGGGAACAAGTCTGCTATTAAATGGGCGCAATTGGTGTCCATAGGAATACCTACAACCTGTCAATACACTTTTTGCCGAAACGTACATAAATGTTGCCAAGCAGAAAATAAACAGCTCCAATCATCTCATCACACCTCCAGTAAGTGTATCTAGCATACGCACCTTTCTCATTAAAGAACAAGGCTTAAAGTGAGTTGCAGCAAATATATTTGCAATCAGATTTTTCAAACGACCATTTAGTTAAATAGAAAAAAATGGTGTTTGATAATATTGTGTGGAAGAGGTGTGTAAAGAGTTGAAAAGTCGAAACTGCCAGCAGAACCAAAAGGACCATCAAAAGCACGTAATTTATCTAAAACAACCAAAGATTTTTTTACACACCAAAAATAGTTAATTCAAATTATCAAGACTGAGCAACACGAACCCCAACAAAAACTGATGGTGATCTCAGGTGCTCCGGGAGGGTAAGTGAATCCTGCTCCACATGTGACCCTAGTCGTGTTACTCCTATAAAATAAGTTGATATAGAATTAAGTTGATGTTGTATGATTGCCAATGAGACAACTATCCACCAAAGTTTAAATGAAGTAATTGTAAGCAATTATAGGCAACCGTACGACCTTCAACAATGAGAAAAACCCATACCATATAGTCGGCTATAAAAGGCCCCGACATGAAAGATGTGAAAGAAATTTAAACGAGAAAACCAACGGCCTAATTTGTAACAAAACAGTTTACGAAAAACACATATGACAGACATGAACCAACGACAACCACTGAACTACAGGCTCCTGACTTTGGATAGGCTACACATAATAGGCAACACAAAATAGGGGATAATATTGGTTCAACTGATTTAATAGGAATGATTTTGCCTAAATTGATGGCATCGAGACCCATGTTGATTACAAGATTTTAATGATATTCGTAATACGGACTATGGGGAATGGCGTTATCAATGAAAAGTATATTAACGAATAAAGATTCCATTTACATTTTCAATATAAGTTTAAACAAGTGTTTTCCGAGCATAACATAAAACAATCTAACAGACAATCAGAGGGCACCATTAGACTTGGAAAACTTGAAAATAGTTAAGCTATTATTGATTATAGGTCAGGACGATGACAAGTATTTGTGATATGATGATGTATACTTTTATTCTGTAATGCGTGCTTTGTGGAGAAGCAGCAAATACAAATATTCAAGTCCATGATGTGACCCAATCGGGGATTGATTTCATTTCAGAAGAGCACGCTACCAGTAGATGATCGAAGGGGGTAGGGGAAGAATGGGTAACGTTGGCAAGAAAGACTTTGTGTGGCGTGATTATTTTTTGAAATACAGCTGCATGTGTCTACCTAAAAGTATATTATAGTACATTGTACTTTATTCTTTAAACATTATTTCAACAACCCATTAATGATCTGACATTATTGTTTTATCCCCTCTTTTTCCCTCTTAAAAAAGAAGGTAATAAACACATAAACATGGATTAAATACCATACTGTAAACCGGGAAATTTTCGCGCCATCTTTATTTCGCGAATTACCAACTGAATCTTAATTCGCGACGTTTTGAATTCGCGATTTGTAGGAGTCCTGTACAAACTTTAGTGAATGATTTTACTGTACAGTTTAACATGTATTGTAAAGCAAGTTTTGAAAATCGATCAAACACTTTTTTGTCTAAACAAAGTCTAAACAAAGTGAACAGTTTTCGTCGGTTCATTAGTGTACGCGTATATTTCGCTTGTATGTTGAAGAATAATTTAACCGCTACATTTATGTTTGCTTGTTAAAACACATACACAATTAACATAAAAGAATAGCTTTATAAAGAGCATTTTAAATTAAGCTGCGTGGAGTACCCCTAATTAATCAATCTTTTGATCATATTAAGCAGTGTAGCAGATACAATGTGGTAATCATTTTAAAAATGATTGAAGGTGTCATTTCATAACGGTCTCGAATGTTGTTTATATAACAATATCAATAAATTCCGCTTGTTGAAAATAGATTTCATTTTAATTTGAAACGTTTTGATTTCTAACACTGCCTTTCAGTTAGAAATAAAGTTTAATTCAATTTGAGATATAGACAAATATATGTCGCCTGAAAACCCGTTGTTCTAAATTGGCCCTGTGCATAATCCTATTGGTATATGTTAATGGATGGGTTTCTTTCTTTGAATCAGTTTTCCTTGAAATATTCGCGGAAGTTTTATTTTCACGTTTCCACTCTTACCGCGAAAATAGCGAAAATAAAACTGCCGCTAAAATTTCCCGGTTTACAGTAATAGAAAAAGTTGTTTAAATACATGCGAATCGTCACGACAAATGGAACATACCCGTGATCATTTTGACACGAATATGCTATCATGTTGAACAAACTCATGATAGCGCTTGTAACACTTTCGAAGAGATGATTTCAACTTTACCATTTCTAAACCATTTTTCCACAGTTTTCCATTAGCCAAAATCTTAATTGAAAGCTGTGGCAAATTTTATCCATATATATATATATATATACTCCATATTCAGATGCTACCGGAATGTTGCTGCATACAAATAGTAAGTTTATGTTGAATAATATAATTTAACTCTTTAATCGAAAATTCAAATTTAAATTGTCAATTTTCAGTTGTACACCACAAAACTGGGCAGTCAGACACGCCTATTTTTGTTATATCCGTTCTTTGGATTTCATCGGGTTAGATGTGATCAACTTAATCACCAAAGTGTGCGTCATTCAATGATATGACATCACCTCTATGACAATGCTCTTGAAAATTCATTGTTCGAACAAAATCAACAAGCAAGTGAGAAGAGGTGCACTGTTGTTAAACTGGAATGCCGACTGGATGGTATAAACACGTCAAACAAACTAAACAAATATATTGTGTTTTTTTTAGTTCTTAATCTTGATTGTTGTCAGTTTAAGATTTCTTTTTGATTGAATAATTTTTTTCCAAAATATGTTGTCATTCCAGAAACAACACATTTTAATGTTCGAAGAGTGGTGAAATATCTAGTATTTCATCGTCTCATTCAAAGAGCTTTTTCTACAAAACAAATACATCGAATATGATATCATCGCAATGCTGTACGTATTAATCGACAACATATTTGATTATATTGGTGAATTGATATTTCAATAGACAGTCGGTATTCCCATTGGTACTATATAACGGCAATAGTAGTATACCGCTGTTCAATAGTCATAAATCCAATTGACTGAAACAAATCCGGGTCACAAACCAAAACCGAGGAAAACAGATCAACTATAAGAGGAAAACAACGGAACAACATAAACACTGAACTGCTACAAAAACAAACGCCAACATACATAGAAACGGACTATTTGATAACAACTACTATTTGTGTTGTTTTTCCTGATATGAAGGATTCAATCGTAACCTTCTCAAAGACAAAACGAATAAACAACTTTTTAAGTTTGTTAATTTCACTTTCAGATATATTGTTAATGTTCTGTCACTAAAAAACCCATATTTCAGTTTGTGCATGTATTTTATACATCCAAGTGAAATTGAAATTAAGGACTCTACTGGTAGTAGAAGGTCTGCTTTATATCTTGATCTTATCATCGATATTGACACAGATATTGAACTTCAAACTAGAATCTTTACACACATGATGATTTCAACCCTTTGTCCCATCGTGTGCTCCTTACACAAAAACTGTTCCAACAGAGTTATGAAGAAGAAAGACTGAAATAGACACTACATAAGTTTTACGGTCACTATCATGAATAGATTGACCGATACGATATGCATGTGTCTCAAATCTCTACTAGCGACGTGTTTTTTGCAGTCTTTCATTTTTAGATACCAGAATAGTTGTCTAAACTGTAATTTTACCGATTGTGTCCTATTCCCGAATAAATGTCACAATCGGGAATATGACACAATTGTGGTAAAATTAAAGATTTTGTTCAACTAATTGTAGATTCGCATAGCATGTGATGCATGTATGGCAGGAGACGCATACCGTGTCGATGCACCCGGTCTTGCTCCTTTAAGAGCCCGTGCAATTCCCTCAATTTTTGCTTGTTACTTTAATTTTTCTTTATCGACTATGAGATTTGAACTTCGCTTAATAACTATTGCCTCAAAATTTCTTCAAAAGTTATACTAAACTCAGACCAAAAATTGTATTTATACTTATAATGAAAACGACTACATTCAAAATGTGACAACAATCTTTTTAAAGAAGGGAAGTTCACATTGCCCTCCCTTTTCCTCTTAAAAAACAAAAATAAAAAAAAACCAAACAAAACCCATACAAAAGACGTCATTTTTACATGCACATATGCATAACACAAAATTAGGATTTATTTCATTTATTTGCAGATTAAACATATAAAGTTATATCCATTTTATTTTTACATTGATTTTTTTTCATATTTCTCAGTAGTCTCTTCGTGATGCTTAGCTTATATGGTATATAAGCAAGTCATAGTTATTCTAATAAGATAAAACGACCGTAATACACAAGCTTACATCAGCAGAATGTAATGTTTTCATCACACAATATATATGATATTTCTAGTTTGTTACTCAGAGTAGTCTGCCATGTAGATTGTATGCCTTCCTTGGTTTCACTGGTTTGTTGCATCACCTGTACTGTTATGGAACGTCTTACTTGAACTTTCTATAAATGTTCATGTTTTACCTTTTTGATCATATGAAATCAAAGTATGCTTTAGTTCACACCCACGGTATATTGTCCTATTACTCTTCTGCCTTTTCCACAATCTGAAAATACAGTATTTTTAACACATTAATAATTATCGGAAAATATCTAACTTTTACATAGTTTAGAATTATCCGTTCCATTTATGATTGTGTGTTCTCGTGTTAATACCTATTCATTCAAGCCCTGAAAGGTTCTGTCTTCGATAAAAAAAAGTATGATTATCGAACATGGTACAAGGCTTTCTGGCATTGTTGTAATTGTAAACTAAAATCAAATAGCTCAATTAATTAAAAGATTAAAGTGTTTCAAACGCATGCAATTTTGTTCATAAATTTCAATATTTGAATTGCATATAAAGTTGGCTGTGCAGTACAATTATGTTGTATTAGGGTTAAATTAAGTACTGCATTTGTTGTTTTTTTGTTTTTTTGTTTTTTTTTTTTAATTCTATATAATTTTATTTGAAATATACATTTGTTAGAGATACATAAAGTACCGGTACCTTATCCCGGTCTCGTTGACGTTAGTATATAGCATTTCATAAGGTTAGTACTTGTTAGTACACAACATACAGTTTTGCTAATAAATAATGTGTAACAGAATAAAAAGAAATTACTATGATATATTATAAATCTTAGTTAAGAAGATAAATTATTTTTTTCTGCAACCGAATTGTAGAAGTTTTTATATTTGCCTTGTTTATTTGTCAATATTTCGTAATGTTAGAGAAGTTCACTTTTAAAAATTTCAAACACATTAATTTGTTTTGTTTTCTGCTCGGATATGTAATACACTTTATATATAGTAAAAAGTATGATTGTTAGAAAATCGTTGATATTGTAATAATTTGTATCGTTTATCTTATATCCATAAAAAAGTGATGATAGTGATATTATATGATGTCCTATTTTAAGTTTGTCTAGTATTAGTTTTATTTGATCCCAAAATGATTTTAGATATTTGCATGTCAGAAAGTAATGATCATAATCCTCAATGACATTACATATATTACAAAGAGGAGTTTTAGTTATTTTCCAAGAGAAAAGTAATTGTTTGGTTGGTAAAATGTAATGTAGAAATTTCCATCTTAACATTCTCAAGTTATTATCTTGGATATAGTTAAAGATGAAGTACAGCATTTGTTCTCTTTTCCTTGTATTGTTATCTAAATTTAGAATTCTGTCCCATTTTTGAAATCCTATTACTTTCTCATAATATCTATTTAAAAGCGAGATGTAGATATCTTTCGAGGAAAATATTTTTATTGGTACCATTTTTCCTTCTCTATCTTTGAATTTAAATTCGGAGTCGGTAGCAACTTTTGTTTTGATTGACTCTTCTTTATAAGCTCTTGTAACCACTGTTTTGGTATTGCTTTCATCAATTTAGAATATTCCGAAAACCAATTAGCATGGCAAGATAGTTTTAGACTTTTTAAGGTATACACAAATATTCAAATATTATGAACATAAATTATTCATAATGAAACATTAAAGAATTACTTACAGCTTGATCCTGGAATATTTGATGGATCGATGATAGATTGCAGTGCATCAACTGTATACATGAATACAGTATAAAGAGCAATTAAAAGCACAAGTAGATATTTAGTTTCCATCTCACAGTTTGTTGTATGTAGACGTCCAGGACTTTTATGTGTATTTTGTAGACTTCAATGACTTAATGTGTATTTGGTATAAAACACTATATTTATACTACTTATATCACATGCAAATGAACAACAACAACTTATCTACTTACATGACGCACCGGATGGCTCAGATTTCTCTGTTTAGTAACATGAACTGAAAACAAATTTTGTTAAACTATTGAATGATTACGTAACAGTAAGACCTTGTTTTTTAAAATTGAGATATGATAAGGATTGTATTATCCTTTTTATCTGTTTACCGTAATGTTTATCACCAAACTTTGAAAACAAAGTTTAAATCATTTGCCATAAACGGTAAATGTCTACTTTGTTACCATGTAAACCATAGTAGTAAAATTAGAAATCGATAATATTCATCCACGTCAAATATAACGTTGTGATAATATCAAAATTCATCTTAAAAACTAAGTAACAAATAATGAAATCTCACAAAACATGTTTTTTTAACCCAGCCACATTTTTGCGCCTGTCCCAAGTCAGGAGCCTGACCTTTGTTAGTCTTGTATGTTTTTTAATTTTAGTTCATTTATATGTTTCGGAGTTTAGTGTGACGTCCATTTTCACTGAACTAGTACACATTTTTGTTTAGGGGGCAGCTGAAGCCCGTCTCCGGGTGCGGGATTTTCTCGCTGTGTTGAAGACCCATTGGTGGCCTTGGGCTGTTTTCTGCTCTTTGGGCGGGTTGTTGTCTCTTTGACAGATTCCCCATTTCCATTCTCAATTTTAAAATATGAAATAATGTTGTACGACATTCCAATTCTTATCCAACAATATCAAAATGATACACATATAAAGAAAAACGTGAACAATGAGAGAGTTGACATCTAAATAGGCGATCAAGAAAATAGATAGAAATTGAAAATACTGAAAAAGTTAAAAAGCCGGATATATAAACCACCGAATTTTCAAAAAATATTTTTTAAGAAGAATATAACCCATGCATGTTCATCTCCTACTAGCGATGATACTTGAAAGATGAAAATAGTTCAGCAGACATATATCGAATATGAACGAACACATTGGACAGTACACAATTTACAACAAAAAAAAAACAATTGAAGAAGGAACAATGCGGGACACATAAGGACACATTAAAGAATATAGTTAGCAACAAAACAATTATAAAATAAAACACCAATAACAAAAATAGCAAAAAAGGGCGTCAGTTTGTAAGTACCACCCATTAGTGGACGGAAGTTAACACAGTAAAAGAAGTTAAAATGTTATTTCGGTATTTGAATATTATCATACATCTCTACTTTTATAATAAAAAGATCAACCCTTCCTGAAAATGACACATTTTTGAAGAGTTTGTGAAGTCCAAACAAATTATTTATCAGCTCAAATTCTAGTTTCATGATAAGAATTAATCACACTTAACTGAACCCGGAAATATAATACTCGGGTCCCTTTAACTTAAATTGCAACATTTATAAAATGTATGGAAAGGTTTAGTATCAGCAAAATGCCTATAGCAATTAGACTTGTCAATTGTAAAAAAAAAGTATTACCAAAAATGCCGAACTCAATGGTAAATTGAAAAAGGGTGCAAGTCCATAAAACATGACGAGACAAAATCAAACACTGGACTATATCAACCAATGGAACGAATGATAAACAACTGTCATATTCCTGACTTGGTACATGCATTTACCGAAAAAAAAGTTGGTTAAACCTGGTTTTATAGCTAACTAAACCTCCCACAAAAGATCAAAGCTAAGTATAAATGGGTTAAAACTATGGAACGCCACAGCTGTCTTATGTGGAACTCTGATATTACTTTATGTTGTTTTATTATTACTTGATGATATTTTGTCTTTACTTAATATGGTTTTGACATTACGTAATGATGTTTTGATATAACTCAATATGGAATAGTCATTACTTAATGATATTTCGATATTACACGATATGGTTTCGTATTGATTTGATGTAGTTTTGTCATTACTCAATATGGTTTTGTCATTACTCGATGTGGTTTCACCATTATTTAATGTGGTTGTGTCATTAGTCAATGTGGTTTTAACATTACTTGATGTGAATGTGACTTAACGTTATGTAGTTGTCTCATTACATGATGTGGTTTTGTTATTTTGTAATGATGATTTGCCTATTCTTTATATGGTTTTAACATTACGTAATGATGTTTCAAAATTTGACGATTTTACACTACATGATGTGTTAGTTTCATTATTTGATGTGGTCCTGTCATTCTTTGATGTGGTTATCCCATTACTTGATGAGGTAAAATCACGTAACCAATTCGGAAAAACCTGTTCTATTGTTAGATAGATTTCCATGTTGTATGTGCCTTGGATGAGTGTGGCCATCCATCGAATTAGAGTTCAAATTAAAGTTCGGGTTACTGTTTGAGTTATACTTTGAGTTAGTCTTCGATTTCGAATTCAAGTCATTATTAGAATTAAAGTTTTAGTTAGCATTGAGTTTCGGGTTGGACTTCAGAGTCGAGTTTGAGTCACATTTAAAGGTATAGTTCTAGTTACGACATTAAATTTGAGTCACTTTTTGAGTTTGAGTAAGATTCGAATTTATGTCTCATTCAGATTAATTAAGATTTTGAGTTGAAATTCGAGCTATCTTATATGAGTTCGTACTTAAATTTTCTATCGCGGAACAAGGACTTTTGCTCGGGCTTCCGAAAAGAGGGCTCCTGGGTATGCGTACAAAAGATAAACAATGTTACAGTATACAAAACGCAACATACATGTAGAAGTTGAAATAAAGTTAGATGTGGTGTGATTGACAATGAGACAACTATCCACCAGAGTTTAAATGCAGTGGGTGTAAGAAATCATATATAGGCAACCGTACAGCCTTCAACACACCGTATAGTCAGGTCAGCTACAAAAGACCACCATGCACCATGTGAAAAATTCAAACGACAAAACAAACGGTCTTATTTATATTAAAACAATCTACTAAAAAAAAGACACACATTTATACAACGACAACAATTGAACTTCATGCTCCTGACTTGGGGCAGGTACATAAAGAAAGTGCACGTGGCGGAGTTTAAGTTCAATTATCTCCCAAAAGAGCAAATGATAATAAAAATAAAAACCCTGACCACATGCACACCTTCAATAATTGTACAAACAGCCAGCAGAGTGAAAACTTCCTAGCATTCAAACTGTAGGAGGAGTTATCTGGAAACGCTCTTCTTATGCAAGTAAATTTCCCAAAAAATTACAAAAAAAATTCAACTATCTCCCAAAAGAGCAAATATTAATAAACATTAAACCCTGACCACATACACACCTTCAATATATGTACAAACAGACAGTAAAGAGAAAACTTCCTAGGTTTCAAACTGTAGGAGGAGTTATGCGGAATAACTATATACCCATAATGGGACGGACAGACGGACGGACGGACGGACAGGGGTAAAACAATATGCCCCCAACTTCCAGTTGCGGTGGCATACAAAACAGTTTCATTTGGCTGACTCAATAGATCGGTATGATTGGGTAATATAAATCCATCGGGGTGATCTCGGATGCTCCAGAAAGGCACCCGTCGGGTTATTCGAGAAAATACAAACCCAGTGATTTGGTTTTATTTGGTAGTTCACATTCAAGGAAAAGATGACGGTATTATGGTTACGACCACTGGAACATGTCCGTCGTCACATGTGAAACAGATATTCCAAAAAGTTTATTTTTCAATTAGTGCGAGGTAGATCAGGGAATTCAATTGATTACAAATAAAAGATTGATATTCATATAAGTTCGCTAAAAAAAATCGGAGAATTCTTATTTTATAGTATTTATGCTTTGTCGCTAAGTCCGAGCCCCCCCCCTCCCCCCGTTTCCCTGTAACTATAGTGTGAGTTGATTTGAAGTGTTTCATTTGTTAACAATAAAGTTCAAGTCTTTTGATTTGTGTCGAGCCTGCGACATCAATGTAGCGGCAGTGAGACCTATATTTCGTCGTCGGTAGTGGCGTCGGCGTCTCCATCTCCATTTTTTAAAATTTCTATTGAGTTATACCTTTCATTATACATGTTACTAAACATGTATGCCATCATAATTTTGTACTTTTAGAATATCATACTGTATTTGATTACCTCAACTATTGTATCTGTATTTGTATTGTATGTTTCCCTGTAAACTTGTAATTAGTTTTTAGAGAATAAAGTATCTATCCATTTATCAATCTATAGATCGTTAGGTTTCTAATTTTTTACATTTTTCATTTCGGGACCTTCTATAGCTTACTATAGGGTATAGGTTTTGCTTAATGTTGAAAACCATACAGTTTTGTTTTAGTTAAATAAAACCGAATTAAACTGTTTTGACATGATAAATTTGTAAACCTTCATGAAGTGTTTTAAAACTTGTATAGGAGTTATTCCTCAATTTCAAGAAAAAGCATCTACAGAAAAACATTTTTTTTTAATTTTGTTTTTACCGATAAATGTATAGATAAATGTACAGCCGATCGACATGACGCTTTTACACTTACAGCAGCAATATCAGGCGAGACACAGGGTTCCGTGGAATATTTTACAAATTTATTACAAAAATACTGCTTCCGTTTGAGAACTTAGGATAAAAACAACAAGACCAAGTGGTTTGGGGATATCCCAATTATGTCCGAAGTACTGTAAACGTTTTAATACTTTTTTCTAATTATTGTCCGCCGTTCCCCTTTTTCATACCAAATAACTCTGAACAACCACTCGAACTTTAATTTGAACTTTAACTCAATGGATAGCGATACCCATCCAAAACACATTAAACAAATGATATATTGAAATCTGTTTAAAAATAGAACATATTTTTTTCCGAATTGGTCACGTGATTTTACCTCATCAAGTAATGGGATAACCACATCAAAGAATGACAGGACCACATCAAATAATGAAACAAACACATCATGTAGTGTAAAATCGTCAAATTTTGAAACATCATTACGTAATGTTAAAACCATATAAAGAATAGGCAAATCATCATTACAAAATAACAAAACCACATCATGTAATGAAACAACTGTATAACGTTAAGTCACATTCACATCAAGTAATGTTAAAACCACATTGACTAATGACACAACCACATTAAATAATGGTGAAACCACATCGAGTAATAACAAAACCATATTGAGTAATGACAAAACTATATCAAGTCAATACGAAACCATATCGTGTAATATCGAAATATCATTAAGTAATGACTATTCCATATTGAGTTATATCAAAACATCATTACGTAATGTCAAAACCATATTAAGTAAAGACAAAATATCATCAAGTAATAATAAAACAACATAAAGTAATATCAGAGTTCCACATAAGACAGCTGTGGCGTTCCATATAAAACCATCATTCTGATTATTCTTTTGTATTTTAAATCTTCGACAATAAGCACACAAAACTGAAAAACATTGACACCAAAATGGATCGAAGTATAATAAACAACGTGAATGAGAACTGCATGTAAATTAAATATTATGACACCATTCGATAAATAACATTAAACGCTACCAATGTTTCTACACCATATAACATATAATGCCTCATGAGTAATGTCCGAGGACACAATTCTTGTAAATCTGTAACAACTGAAAGCCAAAAAAAAAAAAGTAACAAAAGTACAGCCAAACTATAACAAGAAATCAGAGCTGTGTATTCAAGAGATCAATTCCCTAATTTTATATTATTTCATATGTTTTATTGCAAATGTCAACACATTATCCATGTTTTTTTTAACTGAAACAGTACAAGGAATTATTATTATAAGATACAAACACATATGAAACAATGTTATAAGGCATTCACTAAAGGAATCACATCCAACAAACACAATAAAGAAATTAGAATTTAGAATTTAAATACAAGTGGACAATGAGACTTACTTTAACAGATTCGACATCTGATCAGGTGACCAAGATAAAAAAAATCATCATCACAAATACTAAAAATGCAAGGAAACAAATAAAAAGTCCCAAACCAATAGTTGAATTTAATTGATGCATATACTACTACTTATAGTTATAATAATTTAAAAGAGCAAACAATCAGGCTAAATTGTAATTGAATAAGAGTAAAATTCGTGGCCCGCATTAACAAAATAGAAAAATATATAAGAGCTAAAATTATAAAACACAACAATAAAAGCAAAGCGTCAGCTAGTTATTAAGTACCTTTTTCAGTTGTAAACGCAATAACG